CCTGCCGCTGCTTCTGCACCTCCTCCTCCATCCACCACCACCACCTCCTCTATCCTGCTGCTGCTCCATCCTGCCGCTGCTTCCGCTGCTGCTGCTGCGCCCCGCCGCCGCCGCTGCTGCTGCTGCTCCTCCTCCTCCTCCTCTGTCCTGCTGCTGTTGCTGCTGGTGGCTGTGGTGGTGCTACCTCCCTGGACTTCCTCCTTCTTGGCTTCCTAACTAGCTGTGGGTTCAGGCTCCGGCTGCTCCTGTCGCCAAGGCAGTCACTTCTCCTGCAAGTTCGCAACCTGCTCAGCCGGGTACTGCTGCCTCTCCCCGCCTTCCTCCACGCCTTCCTTCCACACCTCCTGCTCCTGCTCCTCCGCATCCTTTTCACTTGCACCTTCTCCTTCTCCCTCCACACCTCCTGCTCTGCTCCAGCTCCAGCCTCAACCCCTGTCTGCTTCGTCCTCGTCCTCGTCCTTATTCTGCCTCATTCGGGTCCTCATCCCCCTCTATCCCCCTTTTGCTCCTCCGCTCTCTTGTTCTCGTTCCTATCCCTCACTCATCTTGCAGCCATGGAGCAACCTGCCGCAGCAGCCAAGGAGGCTCCTGCTGCAGCAGGTGAGACTGGAGGAAGAAGTTTGTGCCTTGACACCGCGACAGACGAGCAGGTTCCCGAGCTGAAGCCCAAGCCCGAGAGAACGGTGAGAGGGAGGAAGCGAAGAGGGTGGAGAGGTGTGGAGAGGGAGGGAGGGAGAGGAAGCAAGGGGAGAGGAGGGAAGAAGACGTATGGAGCAAAGTTGCGACATGACTGTAACTCGTTTGTAGTTGGACCAGATCAAGGAGCAACTTCGATCCAAGTCCCCCTACTCCCAGCGCAAGGTGAAGGCTCCTCCTCCTCCCTCCCTCCTCCCCTCCTTCCTTTCCACTTCTCTTTCCTGCTACTAACCTCCCCTCGCCCTCTTCCGCTCTTTCCTTCCTTCTCCTGCCTTTCCTCTACCTCCTGCCTTCTCCCTCTCTTCCCTCCCTCCCTTTGTCTTCATCCTCTCTCTTCCCCGTGCCCCTCTTCCTCCTCTGTCCTCTTCTTCTCCCTCGTCCTCCTCTGCCCCCCCATCTCCCCTCTTCCTGATTCGCTTCTGCAGTCGCCATGGGACACGTGATCTCGCTTCCTTCACTCCACACGATCCAGCTGGCCTCGAGCTAGCGACGACAAGTTTGTGCCTGATGAAATTTTGAAAAGTGTTCATTTGGTTGTCTCTACTTCCAAGCTCTCCTTCTCAGCTGAACTTCCTGCCGTCGTAAGGAGCGTTGATGCTGTCCGCGTCCTTCCAACGGTTCTCCCACCTGATTCTCTCAGCCGTCTTGTGAAGGTCGGAGAGCTGCCCAGCTTGTCAGTCACGAGCCTTTCCCAGCTCCTCTCCCAGCTGCAGCGCCCTCGTTCCTCCAGCTCACCTTCTCCTCTCCCTGCTGGAGCACTTGGCTCTTAAGCGCCTGCAGCTCCGCCTTCGCCTGCAGCTCCGTCAGCTGAGATCCAGCTCAAGGCAGAGAAGTCGAACATGCTCTGGCGCATGTCGGACAGCGTCCTTGAGCATTTTCTGCACAGCATGTCAGATGTTTACCACCGTCTCCTCTCCCCTCCTCCCCTCCCCTCCCCTTCCCTCCCCTCTTCTCCCTCTTCCCTTCCACTGCCTTCTCTCCCCTCTCCTCTTCTCCCTTCCTCTCCCCTCCTTTCCAATCATCTCCTCTCCCTCCCCCTCCCATGCTCTGCTCTGCTCTGCTCTTTCCTTCCCATCCTCCCTCCATACCCCCTCTCCCCCCCTCTTTTCCTGGCCTTCCTCCTCCTCACCTCTCCGTTCAGTGTGTCGCCTAGCATCCGAACTGTTGCAGCCCATCAGTAACTTTCCTGACCGTCTTCTCCCTTCCCCCCCATTCCTCCTTCTCTCTTCCCCCCCACTCTCCCTTCCGCTGCTTCTGCCTTTGCTGGTGCTGGTGCTGGTGCTGCTGGTCCTCTTCCTCCTCCTCCCCTCGGTCAACTTCGTCTCCCACACCCTCTAACTCACCCAGCATCACCCCGTAGTTGGCAAGCGTCCTCCAATCGTGAGGATCAATCCGCAGGGCCTTCCTCAGTACCCGCTCCTGTCACAGCAGCAGCAGCATCAGCATGCCTCGGCCCTCCTCCTGTCTCTCCTCTCACTTCCCCCTCCTCCGTTTCTGCCGCGTATCTCGTTCCTCCTTCCAACTCCTCGCTCTCCCCCTTCCTCTCCTTTTTCTCACCCTATCCTTTCCTCTCTCCTCTCACTCTATCTCTCTCCTCCCAACTTACCGATCCCTCCCTGTCATCAAGCTGGCAGAGCACTTTCCCGTACCCGCACAGAGCTGGCACGTAGTCTACACCACCAAGTGGGTCAGAGCACACCAGCTGGAGGCTAGCTGACCAGGTGCCAAGCTGAGAGCCTGTAGAGGTGACGAGTCAGAGGCTCTAGATGCAGCCAAGGTAGCGGGACCCGCTCGAAGATCTTTGCGGACTTTTGGAAGCGACTCTGAGCTCGGCATCAGCTGACGTGGGAAGCTGCTGGGGGAAGGGGAAAGCACCTTGACTACTTCGTCCATCATCCCGTGCATGCTGACTTTCCCATCTGGTAAAACCGCAAAGTGAGCCCTCTCCTAGTCCAGCTAGAGCTCACCCTTGTCAAATATCTTGGCCGCCTCTTGGTACTGCAGCAACTTCTCATTCCCCTCCTCCTCCTCCTCATCCTCCTCCTCCTCCTCTTTCTCCTTTTCTCCGCATTAATCACCTCGTTCTGCACGGTAGCATTGGGCAGCCCAGCAGGAGGGATGGCGAGGATGTTCGCCCGTCCTGCTCAGCTCTGAGGGGAGCCCGGAACTTCACAGCTCACCTAGCATGGCCTCCAGGTGGTTGGGAACGAGCTTCAATGCCCTGCTGGCCCTCTATCAGCCCCTCCCCCTCCCCCCGCAAACTTCCTCTGATAGATCATCTCTGCGTCCATGAACTGGCCCTTCGAGCTGCGAAGGGGAGGCGGAGCCAGTCAGCTGAGCTGATCACGTCACACAGCACAGCTGGACCTGAGAAGGCTTGCCTTGTGGCACAGGGAAGCCACGTGGTCGGGCTGGATTTTGATCGCCTTGTCCAGCATCAGCCCAGCTACTTCGCGGCTGTTGTCGCTCTCCCTCAGCACCCCCCCGAGGCACGCGAGCGTGTCTGCATCATTAGGGCTCGACCTGTAGGTCCAGATGAGTAGTCAAGTTCAGCTGGTGTCCACCTGGTGGCCTCTCGCCGCTCACCGTAGCGCCCTCTTCAGCAGATCCTTGGCATCTTCCACGTCCCGTCGATCTCGAGCTTGCGCGATCTTCAGCTCTGCGAACCCTCTGCCGCCTACTCTGAGCTGGGAAGCTAGGAGCTGAGAACCGCCTCACCGGAGTGACGGCACGTGGCTGGGGGCCAGCTGAAGGGCTCGCTGGGACAGAAAGTGTCAAACCGTCGTCCTGAGCGGCAGGAAAGGGGGAACGTGAGAGCAGATCCTCTCACCTCGAAGAGCTCGCTGGCCTCCTCCATGTCGTGCAGCTCGTCCTTCAGCTGGGAAAAGGCGCTATCACCCCTCAAGTCCCCACTCATGACCCCTCCCCACTCACCAGACACGCGAAGTCGCACAAGGTGGGAACGTGGTCGGGCTGGACCCTCTCCGCCTTCTCGTAGAGCGACCTGGCCTCGTCGTACTCTTGTCTGCCCGCCTCGTCAGGCACGTCGCCCAGCTGTTTCCTAGCTGTTCTCCAGCTGCATCTCACCTCTGGCATGCGAGGAAAGCGGCCAGGTTGGTGAGGCTCTCAGCGTCTGCGGGGTGACACTTCAAGCTGAAGGCAGACAGGTGAGGGGGGTGAGGGGGCGGCGGGCAAGGAACTCCACCTCCTCCTCAGCAGAGCCTCCGCCTGGTCCTTTTCCCCCTCACTCCTGGAAGAACCTCAAGTCAGGATCTCTGCTGGGGCCCAGCAGGGGCAAGAGACGTCGCTCTAGTTCCCAGCACCATCCCATAGCCCAGCAAGGCCCTCCTGTCTCGCTCGCTCAGTCGCTTCACCTTGCAGCGCGAGGGTCAGTTCACCTGTTGGTGGGGTCGATCGCCAGGGCCTGGAGGGGTGAGCAGCAGGAGATCAGCTCGGCCCTTCTCCTCCTCCCGTACAACCTTCGCGAACATGCCGATCGATCTTTGCGGGTTGTTGGCGGCAAGCAGCGATCCATACTCCCCCAGCACGAGCTTGACCGCATGTGAGCGTTGGCAGTCTCGTCAGTCACACCCCCTGACCGTGTTTGACGGGTCGATTACAAGGGCTCGCCTGAAGAGCCTGCAGTCCTAGTGAGCCGAGATGTCTTCTCCCAGGTGATGCCGAGCTGTGTACCTCTCGGTGGAGCTGTAGTCTCCCCTCTCGTACAGGAAGCATCCTGCTCGGCGAGGGTGAGAGAGCAGAGGACGTCAAAGCGTGCGGTGGCTTCGACGCCTCCTAACATGAAAATGTTCTTGCAGCATGCTGATCTGATCCTTCATTGTGATCTTGTGTTTTGACCTTCCTCCCCTCTCCCTGCCACTTGTTCTTTCCTGCTCTGACCTGTCCTCTTCTTTCCCTTCGTTCTCTCCATTCATATCCACATCATTTCCTTTCGCTACTCCTCTGCACCTCCCATCTTCCCCTCACTTTCTCATTCGCCTCCCTCCCACTCCCTCCCTCCCTCCCTCCCTCCCTCCCT